GGTGAAACTATCACCCCTCTTCTATAGCGCATATATTACGATCTACTCATTCAACACATCTATGATAAATTCAAAGGATATACTACCTTAGCTACAAAAATAACATTATTATTTCCTCTAAAATTTCAGCAAATACAAGCCAATATGTCAGTTCTTGCATATATGGACGACACCCTATAGATTGCAGACTCTCAACAGCAACTTCAAGACATTATTGATACAGCTTCAACATTTTACAAAATGGCAAATATAAAAGTTAATCTACACAAATCCAATCTTATATCTAACACAAAACTTACACCTACATTCAATTTTATGAACACTACAATTCAAATACACAAACCTGATACACCCTTAAAATTCCTAGGATACTGATATACAGCAACTAACAAACAACGTATTACTTCCAATTTAATTATACAAGAAACATTTGGGCTCATTAACACCATACAAACCAAACAAATAATAGATAAACAAACTAGTTACATTATTAATAATGTGATTATACCTATATTTGAATACCGCATATACAATATAGTTCTAACTCAAAACATTTGCAACAAAATCTTATCTAAATACCTGACTATAGCAAACACAAAGCCAAACAACTCATTACCACTCCTAACAGCACAATATTAAACTACAACATAAATAGTATCAAAAATGTATAGGATATACAACTGCAACACCATATTAGTAATTTTCTTCTTTGACTTAACAATATAGAATTACTAGGAACCAGCACTCGAATAAGATTACAACAGCTTCAAAACAATCTCTGATTAACCACAAATATCCGTCAACACCCTAAGCCTTTTATAGATGGTGCTAATAAATATACAACAACCTTTCAGATTATTCAACTCCTTAGACACACTCAACTTACAATTTCTGCATTTATTACACAACCTTATATACTGCAATACCCATACACACCAATTGAAACTCTTCTCAACACACATCCTGAATATAACAGTCTCAAAAAACAATTATGAATTAAATATATTCTATACTTAAAGCAACTTACATCATTTGACAACTCTACACTTTTAGACTGAACACATATTTCATTCAGATTTAATCAAATTCCTACTGGATACAAACCCAAATAGTTTACGACTTTAGAAAACAAAATTATAACAAACAATCTCACAAGAACAATCGATCTCAATCTTAATCTCCTCACCTCTAACTCTCTATCATTTACAACTACTACAACTCAAAATCTAAATCATGGCTAATTACCTTTGATTATAACCATAAAGAAATAATTATAGAAAAGGCATAGAGATACAACACTAATGAAGACACTATTTCAATTATATATTGGTTGATAGAATACGATCTCTCTCACACAAGTTTATACCCAACTCTAACTATTAACTATGCTCTGTGCACTGGATGTATACATAACACTAACAGAATTTAAAATCACTATATATTTGACATCTCAGCTAATTCCGCAACAAAATTCTTTGACCGAAAAAGATATAACAATACAAACAAACTAAACTTATATACAAACTACTTAGATCTGATTTATGCTATTGCACTACATAACCTCTAACAATTCCTCCACTTCCTACTATTAAACTTATCAGTACCCTTATTTTTAACTTATTCTAGATCAACTCATCTTCTATTAAACTCCAAGAAATTGCAGACTCTAACAAAAGATTCACCAACTTTATATTCTATACAGATGGATCAGTCACAAACCTTTCTACAAACAGATGTTTTATGAACATTGGCTGGGTACAAATTTATAACAATGCAATATTTTACTCATATTCTTCTCGCATTAAGCTCTGGCTATTATCTTATAAAGCAGAGTTCATAGCAATACTATCTGCTATCAGTACATGCCCACATAACAGCAATATACAGATATACACAGATTCTTAATCAATAATCACAAATACAGCAAAATTAGTAATAATATAATTCCATCACATAAACAATACTCCTATTCATATTGGCCAATTTGGCATTCACTACTCAAATTAATTCAAGCCTACCAATATACTATTACTTTTTACAAAGTCCTTGCACATAACAATAATATATTCAATAATGAAGCTGACAAACTAGCAACCAACCATAACTCTACTGCATATCTTGAATTTATTCACAACAATTTACACAATACATCATATACTCTACAATATGAAAATTATACAATTAAACAACCCACAAGACGAGTTATCAAAAACATTTGCAATGTATATATTATTGCTATGTGATCATCACAAAACTGAATAAACAATATCATTCCTTTATCAACACAGATTGACTAGAACTCAACATAGCTTTATCTTAACAACAATACAAAAAAATCAAACAACTATACTAACTTCTAACTCAACCAAAGTAAATCCTTTAAAATCAAAATACTGCTTCATATCCTACCTATATTACATTATCTTCATGATCTGTATCCAGACAAATTTCAAAATAACAACTGCATTAATTGTCAAACTCCAGAGCATCAATAATACTGGTTACTCTGTTCCAACCCTACAAATCTTACTAAGATAATTACAAACACAGTTACAGAAACTATTAACTACTCAACATTAGACATTATACAATCACAGCTACAACAACTACACAACCTACTAATTCAACACAGCAGCTTATCACTAAACAACATCCAATAAAGACAAACTAATATATATACAACCATACAAGGATTTATACCAACAGACCTTATTGCTACAATTAGACTCTATACCTCATTTCAAAAAAAAGCAACCACTATAGCAATTAAACTCCTAATTAAAATATTATACAATATCTACGAACTTATATAGAAACCATACTCTGCTAAATTAGCACAATGGAAAAAGGATATAATATCTTATCCAATCCTAACAGACTAACAACTCAGTCCAAACTATACAACTACTTACATCAACACTTGAACCTACACTATACAACTTGTCAACTATGTGGCTTATCCAACCAACTCCACACAGAAGACAACACCTGTCCACCACATAGACTTGCACTTCGCAAAATTGAATCCTGGTCTATACACTAGATACTACATAGCTATCCTACTAACAATATTCTACACTATCAAATCTAGGTGAGTTTTAACCACTCTAGTAGGTTTAGGTTGCAGATAAATTAGATAGATACCTGTCTATAGTCTGAGCTCCATTCTTGTAATATATTTGTAATTGAAATAAATATTGTAATTTATATCCAGAAAAGCCCCAAGAGGCTTTTTCAACAAATTAATAAAGATATGAGCAAAACCTCACCTTAACTTCAAAAAAAAAAAAAATCTTTAGTTAAATTTTTTAAAAGTAAAATTTTATTAATTTATAGTTAAATTTTTATAATAATTACTAAAAGTTAAAATTAGTTATATATTTTTATATAAATATTTATATATATACCAAAAATTTATATGAGTGTCCCTAAAAGAAAACCCGACAATTTAAATATGACTTATATATAAATTGTCGGGTTTTCTTTTAGCGACACTCATATACTGTATATATATACAGTATATTCTATATAATTTTTTTTTACGCATCTTAATATATACGTATATATTAATATAGAATGTAGATATATATATAAATAGTATAGATATACAATAGAACTAGTTTAGTATTAAATTCTTGAACCAGACTAGTCAAATTGAACAAATTAATTAGGTAAGATTAGCTTCTAACTATAATAAATTTGTAAAATATTTAATATGATTTTCAGATCGATTCTTATTTTCAACACCTGCAGCAATGTCTAGGTTAAGAAGAGTACTAAAATTAAATTGTATAACATTAACAGCAGTTTAAAAATTTATAAAAGCAAATCAAATTATTTAAAATTTATAACCTTTCTTTTTGTTAAAATAATAGAATGTATTGTGTGTTAAAAATAACGAAAAAAATTGATAGACGATCGATTACATAGACAATTAATATTTGAAGTGCAAAAAAAAAGGACTATTCCTTATGCGGATCTTGATACCTTTTTTTGGAACCATTAGGAACGGTAACTGTATATTATTTCATTTATTAATGCTGTAATTTAATACCTATATATCTTATTTGCATTAGTGCGCGAATCTCGGCCAATTCTAAAATTGGGATGTACAAGCTGCAGCACAAGCATTATCTGCAGATAAACATTTGAACAGAAGTCCATACACGTGACAAAAATAAATCGATCGCATGGTTCTGCGCCTCAAAACTAATGTATTGGGCTATACTAAATACACCAAATACCAAAATATACCAAAATATAATTACCTTTGTAACCATGTGGATTAATCATAACCCAGCTTAAAGGTTAGTCAAATTACACATTCGTAAATCATAAATTAACCGAAGTTACAATTGTAATCTTTCGCCAGAGGTTGTGTTCTCTATTAATTGGTGAGTGCATATGCGATTTTCGCCGATGTAACCCGTATATAGAGTGGTAGTACGTTGCTGTATGCGGGAGTAGTAGATTTGCATTCGTATTCTTTCGATGTGGTTGGTGATGTTGAATGAACGCAGCAGCGAATATATTTATTTTATAACGAAATGTATATAATGAAATTAGGGATCTATAAAAAAATAAGGTCACTACCCTCAATTTTTAATATAATTGGTGAAATTTGATTTGTCTACCTATTCATTGATTGGTTCTTGACTATTTCTACAACCAACAACTTTCTGCAACTCCATATTAAGCTGGGTGAGTATTGTTTTTCTGTTGTTGTTTCGTGCATCCTGTGATTTACGCGTACAGTACTACAAAGAAAATTTTAAAGGTCAAAATTTTTTTCCTTTCACTTACTTGCTCCGGTTTAACTCACTTTTTTCCCTTTCAAAAGAGTAAAAAGAAAAAATAGTGCGTACAGCTTTAAGCCTTGACTGGTCGTTTTATAAACGCTTATAATCATTTTTCATCACAAACACGTTTTACATTCTTTTTTGTTCCTCCAACCTCAACTTTCTTAGCCTTTACCCCAAAATAAACTATTCTATATGACCATGAGAGAAATCGTTCATTTACAAACCGGCCAATGCGGTAACCAAATAGGTGCCAAATTTTGGGAAGTTATTTCAGATGAACACGGTATCGATTACTCTGGCACTTATGTCGGAGACGCAGACCTCCAATTAGAAAGAATATCTGTTTATTATAATGAAGCCAATGGTGGAAAATATGTTCCACGCGCCGTTCTTGTCGACCTTGAGCCTGGTACTATGGACTCAGTTCGTGCTGGTCCTTTCGGACAACTTTTCCGTCCAGACAACTTTGTCTTTGGTCAAAGTGGTGCCGGTAACAACTGGGCTAAGGGACACTATACTGAAGGAGCCGAACTTGTCGACACAGTCTTAGATGTTGTTCGCAAAGAAGCAGAATCTTGTGATTGCTTACAAGGTTTCCAAATAACCCACTCTCTCGGCGGTGGTACAGGTGCTGGTATGGGTACTTTACTCATCTCTAAAATCCGTGAAGAATACCCTGACCGTATGATGTGCACGTTTTCTGTCGTTCCATCACCCAAAGTATGTATATATTTTATTATTAAATGAACATAAATGAACAGTAGATGTTTATTCTCCACATTACAACATTACATTTCGTTTTTAATTCGTTAATGTGAACGCGTTTCTTAATGTTTCTTAATGTTTCTTAATATTTTAATTAATATTAGGTTTCGGATACTGTTGTTGAACCATACAATGCAACTCTTTCTGTACATCAATTGGTTGAAAACTCTGACGAAACATTCTGTATCGATAATGAAGCTTTATATGATATTTGCTTCCGCACATTGAAATTGAATACACCTACCTATGGTGATCTTAATCATTTAGTATCTGCCGTCATGAGTGGTATCACCACATGTTTGCGTTTCCCTGGTCAATTGAATGCTGACTTGAGGAAATTAGCTGTCAACATGGGTAAATATCTTCTAGATTAATATATATTAATGTTAAATTAACTACATATATTTACTTATAATACTTATAATACTTATCAATAATTTTTTTTTTTAGTTCCTTTCCCACGTCTTCACTTTTTCATGGTCGGATTTGCACCATTAACTTCTCGTGGATCTCAAGGTTATCGCGCCTTGACTGTCCCTGAGTTGACTCAACAAGTTTTTGATGCCAAGAACATGATGGCTGCCTCAGATCCTAGACATGGTCGCTATTTGACCGTTTCTGCTATTTTCCGAGGTCGCTGCTCTATGAAGGAAGTTGAAGATCAAATGTTGGCTGTTCAAACAAAAAACAGCTCATACTTTGTTGAATGGATTCCTAATAATGTTAAGAGTAAGTAAGATAATTTTGAATATGGTTTATGTGATACAAATAATAATGTCAACTTTTTACTTTTTACATAAAATTTTAGCCGCTGTATGTGACATTCCACCACGAGGTCTTAAAATGTCTGTTACTTTTATTGGTAACTCTACTTCAATTCAAGAACTATTCAAACGTATCAGTGATCAATTCACTGCTATGTTCCGACGTAAGGCTTTCTTACATTGGTATACTGGTGAAGGTATGGATGAAATGGAATTCACAGAAGCAGAATCTAATATGAACGATCTGGTATCCGAGTATGTATAATATACATTAATTTATCAGTTGATATTTATATTTTTATATTAATTTTATTAATTTGTAATTTATCACTTATTAGATATCAACAATACCAAGAAGCTACTGCCGAAGAAGAAGCTGAAGAATATGAGGAAGAATTGGAACAAGATGCAGACATCTAAAACTATACACTTAATGCATAATATTCACTATATTTCGCATCCATCATCATATATATACATATATATATTACATCCTTTTATGATCTATTTTTTTTTTCTTTTATATAAACACGATTTCTATTTTACCTAAAAAAATTACCTAAAAAAAAAAATCATCACAGTCTTTTGCTTCTGAATAAAGGTCGTTTTCGCGAGTGACAATTATCAAATATTTTAATGAGATATTATAAGAATTATTTTAAAATTTTATTTATAATTAGACATTCCATAACATAGCGAGCATTTCGTGTTACATGTTGGCAAGCATTTTATAATAGAAAATAAAAAAACCTACGAGTTCCTTGGGCTTAATGAGCCAATTAAAATTGTCTGTTTAAACGTGTTATGTCAGATGATTCAATTGCCTACCATAATATCGTAAAATTTGGTGATACGCATATGGATTAGTGTGGAATTATTTGCACTACATCATCGATTGTGCCATATTGCCTCTGGCTTTAGATTCAGTTACGGTAACAATGCGTAAAACGTGTCATCTGATCAAGGTGTACCAATAAAGGCTTGGTTTGAATATAAAAAAAAAAACAAAAAGGAAACCACACACAATCAGATAAGAATTTTTTATGCAAATAAAAAAAAAGTACAATGGGAACGACACTGAATGAGTGTGATTATCATAAATAAAGTCGGATCCTTTAACAAAGAATATCAAAGAATGCTTTGAAGATAACCATCGCGTTATTCCAACTTAGGGTACAGTTTCCACGTTTATTTTATTTTATTTTATTTTATTTTTATTTTTTTTTACCTGATGTGAAACGGATGCACGCAGATTTCTGATTTGAATCTTATACAAGGCGCAATTTCAGGTTTAAGCTGAAAACTTTAATTTCTGTATAAAAACTTATTTGATCTATAGTCTTTCCTTTTCAAGACTGTACCCCGAAACAGAATTTTAAAACGATCCCTTTTTTTGGATCCCCAAACATTTTTTATCATTAAATCAATCGTATTACCAATTATGATGAATCATCAACAAACACACTTAAACATTGACGACAAAATCTTGCCAAATGACAAATTTGGTGTAATTCTTTATCTTGAAGGGTAAAAAAAACTTGTTCTTATACAAGTTTTCTTTCTTTATTTAACTCCTGTTTCAGATACTTCGAACGCATAAAATACTGCGGTAAAGATCGTGTACAATACTATGCAGTACTGACTAACTGTTGATTGTCCATTTTTGATACGTATCTAGTCTAATGATACGTACTCAAAAAATAGTTAACCAGTAAGAATCATTACGTACTCAAAGCAGACATTAGTGGCGGTAAGTTTGTAGATATGTTGTGCCCCAAATGTTAATGCCAGTTGAGCGGCCTAGACTTTAATTTACCAAATTTATCTAAATAACTGGCCTAAATTAATTTGTTGAGATTGATGGTTTTCGCCAGATTGACATTTGGGAAAATGACATTTGGTGCACAACATACACATCGATATATATGTATGTATATGCGCTATAAATCATACGAGCATTTTATGTTACTAATTCTATCACCTAAAAATGGTAATAAACTCACTTTCACAGATTTATGATGAATTTCGATTGTATGAGTGAAACTAGCTTTCTACATAAGTACGTACGTACCTCGGCCAATGAGAATATCTCATGTAACTACTTACGAATAATCTCTACAATATATTTTTTTTTGAATGACGGTTTATTACCATCCTGGGGTAACAAGATTTTTTATGTTCCTTACGATTTCTAACCTTGATCTATGTGTTGTACGTAAACCTTTGGAGGATGATCAACCCAGACCAAGTGGCCAAGTCTAGAATTTACCAGTGGCGATAACGAAGCTAAATACGTAGAAAAAAGTAAAGCACGTACGTACGTATCTATTTGTTTACTGCTGTAGGGATGGATCAGTCCGAATAAAGATCGGTTTTTAACTCCAGGTAGGAACGTCCCAAATTTGGAAACGATTCCCGATACAGTTACACATGATCGTCACCGATCATGTGAATTTTGGCAGATCAGCCAATCAGATGACGAAAAAAGTATTGTAAAAACGTATAAAAAAAATTATTTATCAATCGTGTAACGATTGGGAACATTCCTACCCGTAGTTTTTAACCAGTCCACAGTTACTCAGCAAGATAGAAGTTTGTTTTGATTGGATGATCATCAAAAACTCTGATTGGCCAAAATTAAAGGGTTAGCTTTCGTT